GAGGTCTATGTACTGGGTGGTTGGGAGGAGGGGGAGCTCTGTTCTGCGGAGGGCAGCAGTGGGGAGAGTTCTGTGCTGGGGGGGAACACTGTGTACACAGGGGCCAGGGGGTGGGGGAGCTCTGTACTGTTGGAAGGAGGGGGAGGTCTGTGTGCTGGGGGTTGCAAGGAGGTGGAACTCTGTTCTGGGGAGGCTAGAACTGGGGAGATCTCTGTACTGGGGGGGGGAGCACTGTGTACAGGGAGGGCTAGGGGGTGGGGGATCTCTGTATTGGGGGTGGAAGTAGAGGGGAGGTCTGTACACTGGGGGTTGGGAGAAGGGTGAGCTCTGTTCTGGGAAGGCTAGCAATGAGAAGAGCTGTGTACTGGGGGAAGAACTGTGTACTGGGGGGCTAGGGGGTGGGGGCAAAGCTCTGTACTACTGGTGGAAAGAGGGGGAGCTCTGTACATTAGGAGGTTGGGAGGAGGGGGAGTTCTATTCTGGGGAGGCTAGGGGTGGGGAGAGCCCTGTACTCTGGAGGAGCACCGTGTACTGGGGGGCCAGGGAGTGGGGGGAGCTCTGTACTGGGGGGGGGCATTGTGTACCAGAGGCTAAGGGGTGGGGGGAGCTCTGTACTGTGGGGAGCACTGTGTACTGGGGGGCCAGAGAGTGGGGGGGCTCCTTATTGGGGGTATGGAGAAGCAGAGGGCTAGAAAGAGCTCTTTACTAGTAGGAAGATGGGTGAGCTTTGTAGTGAGGGAGGAGGGGGTCGGAGTTAAGGGAAGAACCCTGTACTGGGGAGGGGGAAGAGCTTTTTTTTTGTTGTGTTTCTTCCCGTGACACCACCAACAGAGGAACATTTTTCTCCCTTTCAGTGACACCACCGATGGAGGGACATTTTCTCCTTTCAGTGACACCACTGGCCTGGGAATATTTTTCCATTGCCATCTATTTTAATCTTTTCGCTGGTACTATTCCATCGCCTGCCACAAACATGGAAAACATTTTGGCGCTCCTCATTTTTGGCCCCATCCCTTTCTCCACCCAACGAGGGGGGGGGGGGGGGTGGCATTGTTTTACTCTCCTATAGTGGGGCTATTACTGTCCTAGATGTGGGACTATTATTTACTCTCCTATAGTGGGACTATTACTGTCCTATAGTGGGACTATGACTTACTCTAATATAGTGGGACTATTGCTCTCCTATAGTGGGACTATTACTTACTCTCCTATAGTGGGGCTATTACTTACTCTCCTATAGTGGGACTATTACTCTCCTATAGTGGGACTATTACTCTCCTATAGTGGGACTATTACTCTCCTATAGTGGGACTATTACTCTCCTATAGTGGGACTATTACTCTCCTATAGTGGGGCTATTGCTCTCCTATAGTGGGACTATTGCTCTCCTATAGTGGGGCTATTACTGTCCTAGATGTGTGGGACTATTACTCTCCTATAGTGGGACTATTGCTGTCCTAGATGTGGGACTATTACTCTCCTATAGTGGGGCTATTACTGTCCTAGATGTGGGACTATTACTCTCCTATAGTGGGACTATTACTGTCCTAGATGTGGGACTATTACTTACTCTCCTATAGTGGGACTATGACTTAGCTCGGCGTACATTTACAGCACAACTCTGTGCCGAGATAATGGGACTCCGCGTACATTGGCGGGAGTGACGTCATCGCGTTCAGTCGAGCAGCCGTAGACTCTGCACCTGGAAGGAAGCCCGGGAGAAGATGGAGGGGCCTGTTACAGACTGGAGAGCTGCCAGGTACGTCTGCCATCATGTGCTAATATCTGTCGGCATGAAGCTTCTGGGGGGCTATCTTTACATTTTTTTGTAGAGATTTAATTTCGCTTAAGAATCACTTTTTGGCAATTTTTTTTTTAATTTTTTAATTCGCTCAACCTATTCCTAAGTATTGATGAAAAACCAGGCCGCGGCCCCCGGGGGCCTCGCCGGACAACCCTGATGCGTGTGTTACGGATAATCAGTTTATTTACTAACAAATCCTTCCTAGCAGCGACCTCCAATTCCGCGACATTCCCACGGGACGATTTGGGAAGATCTGTCAGCCCAATAGGAAGGCTCTGTCTTCCCAACACCTCCATGACACGACCCCCAAGCCTTCCAACACGGGATTAAGGTCCGGGCTAAACCGTATAAATACCCGCCTTTGACATACAGTGTACGTGTGCCAGGAACACGGTGCCGGCACTCTCTGTACCCTGGAGGGGGACTAAGGCTTTCCTCATTTCAACAGCCGTCTCCGGCAGCAGAGGAGCTTTCAGCTCTTTTTTTTTGCAGCTAATGTGAATTATTGCCCCCCCCCCCAGCCCGGGTCCACGATGGCCGGATATTCGGGGGGTCTCAGGCGCCGGCGACCACAAAATGTAAACGTCCGCAGGCACGGCTAACGGTCATTCGTCTTCGGGGCGTCGCTGCCGGGCACAAAACCGCCGTATGTTCTTTTCTTGGCAGGGAGCGCGCTCGCAGATTAGGGGCGCTCTACGGCGTGGCAGCGTCCCCGGCACAGCGTCTGAACGGGAGTTTAAGGGATTATATGACGCTGAGACGACGGAGGGAGCCGTGCCACGCCGCGGGATTTAGCGTAGGACGGTTTATTTTTATTAGTTGTTCGCTTGGAATTGCAGAAACACATAAGGGGGGGGGATGATTTTGTTGGCGCTTCGGAGGGAAGGACAGGACGCTCATAGAAATATTGTTCTATAAATGTCGACCAATTAATGCTTCAAGAAACTCGATCCTGAATGAAGGACGTCGCTGACTTTCTGTCTAACGTTTCTTGGGTCAGTGACTCGGAGGAGCCAAAAAAAATAAAGGGGCAACTAGCTTTTTTAGAAGGAGGTCAGCGATGGCGGCCCCCCCATCCCATCAATGCGACCGGCCGCATCCGATACCCGAAGAGTGGATCAGATGGTTTGGAAGGCCGAGGAGAGATGTGGGGTCTAAAAGACTCCAGATCTCTCAGTAAAGAGGACCTGTCACTTGTTGTTCATCCCTTGTGATAGCAATAAAGTTGATCCAAAAAAAAAAACATTAGTAGAGGACCTCTCACTTCTTGTTCATCCCTTGTGATAGCAATAAAGTTGATCCAGAAAAAAAATTAGTAAAGAGGACCTGTCACTTGTTGTTCATCCCTTGTGATAGCAATAAAGTTGATCCAAAAAAAAAACATTAGTAGAGGACCTCTCACTTCTTGTTCATCCCTTGTGATAGCAATAAAGTTGATCCAGAAAAAAAAAAATTAGTAAAGAGGACCTGTCACTTGTTGTTCATCCCTTGTGATAGCAATAAAGTTGATCCAAAAAAAAAACATTAGTAGAGGACCTCTCACTTGTTCATCCCTTGTGATAGCAATAAAGTTGATCCAAAAAAAAAAAAAACATTAGTAGAGGACCTCTCACTTCTTGTTCATCCCTTGTGATAGCAATAAAGTTGATCCAAAAAAATAATTAGTAAAGAGGACCTCTCACTTGTTGTTCACCCCTTGTGATAGCAATAAAGTTGATCCCAAAAAAATAATTAGTAAAGAGGACCTCTCACTTCTTGTTCATCCCTTGTGATAGCAATAAAGTTGATCCAAAAAAAAAAACATTAGTAGAGGACCTCTCACTTCTTGTTCATCCCTTGTGATAGCAATAAAGTTGATCCAGAAAAAAAATTAGTAAAGAGGACCTGTCACAGCCCCAGACAGTGGAGAGATCTCTAACAGACCGCAGATCTGTCAGTAAAGAGTACCTGTCACAGCCCCAGACAGTGGAGAGATCTCTAACAGACCCCAGATCTGTCAGTAAAGAGTACCTGTCACAGCCCCAGACAGAGGAGAGATCTCTAACAGACCCCAGATCTGTCAGTAAAGAGTACCGAGGGAGAAGCCGTGCCCGTCATCAGTCGGTTATCTCCGAATCTGTTGGCGCGGCGGGCACATCGCCCCCTCCCAGCCTGTGCCCCCGGCTTATGTTCTCATGCTGGATCAAGGCAGGGCAGGCAGTACAAATACCTCCAATCAGCTCCTCTAAGCTCCTGATCTGGGCTTTCGTCCTGAAGAATGCGAGTTATGCGCGGCGGAAGCCAGGCTGACAAATCGCACCGAAGCAACAAAAGCACCTGAATCCCACGGCAAACACTCGCATAGGCCGCTTAATCTGCGGCTTCCCTTCCCAGCGATCGGGACGCTGAGCGCCCTGCTGACAGATCGCCGTCCGTTCCTTGTGTGATGCAAACGACTCCGCAACGCCAAGAAAAGATTACTAATAATACTTTTATTACTTTTCTTCTTTTTTTTTTTGTGGGGGAGAAATCCCAATACACTTTGGGCAAAGGTTCACTCTCATGCGGATTTCAGTGCGTTTCCCCAGTCGGCGGACACGCCCTAACAGTCCTACATTTAACATGTTTTCCCACGGATCTAGTTCACATCTGTGCGTTTTGAGCCCGGTGCGTTTTTTTGGAAAGGGTCAGAGACTTTTTTTTCCCGCGGCAGACGGCATTTGCATGTAATACACTTCAATGGACCCTCACCAAAAACGCACTTGTTATGTTTTTGCCGCGTTTTTGAAGCATTTTGCTATTTTTTTTTTTTTAACTCGCGTCTTTGATGTTTTTTTTTTTTCAATGTGTTTTGTGTGGGTTTTTCTTTTTCTAATAGGAGAAGTATAAGTCCTCATGCACACTTGACGTTTTTACAGCGACTGTTTTTGGCGTTTGACGGTTTTTTCTACAGTCAATAAACTCCCCAGCATGTTACCCTATGTGTCCATACACACATACTGCAGGCTGTAATCAGTGTTTTTTGGCTGGAAAAAAAACCCAAATTAGTGGGTTTCTAGATGAGTTGTTCAGCTGTAAAAACGCTCTAACACTGAAAAACGCAGCAAAGTGCGGTAAAATGCTGCAAACCAGTGTTTTTGGACTTTTTTTTTTTTTACCACGGCATCCGACGCTTTGCATTGCACTTGGTGATGGAAGGCTTGGATGCAGCTGCTCAGCCATGGAAACCCATTCCATGAAGCTCTCTACGCACTGTTGTTGGGCTCATCTGAAGGCCACACCAAGTTTGGAGGTCTTTAGCTATTGACTCTGCAGACAGTTGGTGACTTCTGCGCACTGTGCGCTTCAGCATGCGCTGACCCCGCCCTGTCATGTGATGTGGCCTACCACTTGGTGGCTGAGTGGCTGTTGTTCCCAGTTGCTTCCACTTTGTTATAATCCCACTAACAGTTGAGCGTGGAATATTTAGTATCCAGGAAATGTCACGGATGGACTTATTGCACAGTTGGCCACCTATCACGGGACCACGCTTGGAGTCACTGAGCTCCTGAGAGCGACCCATTCTTTCACCAATGTTTGTAGAAGCCGTCTGCATGCCTAGGGGATGGATTGTATACACCTGTGTCCATGGAGGGGATTGGAACACCTGAATCACATGATTTGGAGGGGATTGGAACACCTGAATCACATGATATGGAGGGGATTGGAACACCTGAATCACATGATATGAAGGGGATTGGAGCACCTGATTCACATGATTTGGAGGGGATTGGAACACCCGAATCACATGATTTTAGGGGATTGGAACACCCGAATCACATGATTGGGAGGGGATTGGAAACACCCGAATCACATGATTGGGAGGGGATTGGAACACCTGAATCACATGATTTGGAGGGGATTGGAACACCTGAATCACATGACTTGGAGGGGGATTGGAACACCTGAATCACATGACTTGGAGGGGGATTGGAACACCTGAATCACATGATTTGGAGGGGATTGGAACACCTGAATCACATGACTTGCAGGGGATTGGAACACCTGAATCACATGATTTGGAGGGGGATTGGAACACCTGAATCACATGATTTGGGGGGGATTGGAACACCTGAATCACATGATTTGGAAGGGATTGGAACACTGGAATCACATGATTTGGGGGGGATTGGAACACCTGAATCACATGATATGGAGGGGATTGGAACACTGGAATCACATGATTGGGAGGGGATTGGAACACCTGAATCACATGATTTTAGGGGATTGGAACACCTGAATCACATGATTGGGAGGGGATTGGAACACCTGAATCACATGATTGGGAGGGGATTGGAACACCTGAATCACATGATTGGGAGGGGATTGGAACACCTGAATCACATGATTTGGAGGGGATTGGAACACCTGAATCACATGATTGGGAGGGGATTGGAACACCTGAATCACATGATTGGGAGGGGATTGGAACACCTGAATCACATGATTGGGAGAGAGTTGGAACACCTGAACCACATGATTTGGAGGGCGGGGACAATACATTTGGCAATATAGTGTATCTCACCAAAAACCCAACAGGGCTCCAAAAAATTTTGTAATTAAAAAAAAAAAAAAAATGAAGACTGTAAAGGGAAAGAAAATGGTAAAAAAAAAAAATACTGACACTATTGGCAGAACTACGGGGTCACAAAGGATTGCACTTGCACCCAACCCTGGCCAGGCTAGGAGGGAAGGGCCCCACCAGGGGTCAGGGGGACCCTTCATGGTTTCTTGCACTGGGGCCCTGAAGGTTCTAGTTATGCTACTGCCATATGACGTTTTCTCTAGTTTCAGACTCAGGAAAAGGAATCTCCTGTGTTTGCTGCTCCATTAGAGAGATTTATCCTCACCTCCTCTTCTGCTGACCAGACAGGAAGCGAGGGGAACTCTCCACCAGCAACGCAGAGAGAAGTGCCGATCACACCACATGGCAATGAGACCATGAACATCATAACAGAGCCAGGATCCATGGAGCATGGATGGAGTCAGGGGCGGACTGACAACTCATGGGGCCCCCAGGCAATAGGGGATCATGGGGCCCCTGTGTCCTTGCCCACACTCAAAAAAGCCTATAAAAAAGGTACCAGGGGCATTTCATGGGGCCCCCTACTAACCCCGGGCCCTCGGGCAGTGCCCGAGAGCTCGAATGGTCAGTCCGCCCCTGATTGGAGTATAACGTGTCTGGAGTAAAACTGGCGGACGCTGCAGGGGCTGAGCAGTGAATTGTCCTCCCTCTGAGCATGGCATGTATAGCAGACTTATGTGACCCGTGTTATTGCCGCTGGGTTACCAGATAACAATGTTTTCCAGGCGTGTCATTGGAGGGAACCATCACCCGGATATTGTGTGAAGAGAAACAGATAAAAAAGACAAACACACACCGCAGGGACATGAAAGGAACGAAGAAAAGAAAGCATCTGACCTGATCTGCAGGTAATGGAAGTGTACAGCGAGTGACAGGAGTGGGAGCGCCCGCTGATCTCCATCTCTGACACATACCCCGGCCATTGTATGAGGAATCTATAGGGGACATTCACACTGCCCCTATCATTGTATGAGGAATCTATAGGGGATGGTCACACTGCACCTATCATTGTATGAGGAATCTATAGGGGACATTCACACTGCACCTATCATTGTATGAGGAATCTATAGGGGATGGTCACACTGCCCCTATCATTGTATGAGGAATCTATAGGGGATGGTCACACTGCACCTATCATTGTATGAGGAATCTATAGGGGACATTCACACTGCACCTATCATTGTATGAGGAATCTATAGGGGACATTCACACTGCCCCTATCATTGTATGAGGAATCTATAGGGGACATTCACACTGCACCTATCATTGTATGAGGAATCTATAGGGGATGGTCACACTGCCCCTATCATTGTATGAGGATTCTATAGGGGATGGTCACACTGCCCCTATCATTGTATGAGGAATCTATAGGGGATGGTCACACTGCCCCTATCATTGTATGAAGAATCTATAGGGGACATTCACACTGCACCTATCATTGTATGAGGAATCTATAGGGGATGGTCACACTGCCCCTATCATTGTATGAAGAATCTATAGGGGACATTCACACTGCACCTATCATTGTATGAAGAATCTATAGGGGATGGTCACACTGCCCCTACCATCGTATGATGAATCTATAGGGGACAGTCACACTTCCCCTATCATTGTATGTGGATTCTATAGGGGACAGTCACACTGCCTCTATCATTGTATGAGGATTCTATAGGGGACAGTCACATTGCCCCTATCATTGTATGAGGAATCTTGAGGGGACATTCACACTGCCCCTATCATTGTATGAGGAATCTATAGGGGATGGTCACTCTGTCTCTATCATTGTATGAGGAATCTATAGGGAATGGCCACACTGTCCCTTTCATTGTATGAGGACTCTATAGGGGATAGCCACACCACCCTTATAATTGTATGAGGAATCTATAGGGGACGGTCACTCTGCCCCTATCATTGTATAAGGATTCTATAGGGGACGGTCACACTGCCGCTACTATTGTATGAGGAATCTATAGGGGATGGTCACACTGCCCCTATCATTGTATAGGGATTCTATAGGGGATTGTCACACTGCCGCTACTATTGCATGAGGAATCTATAGGGGACGGTCACTCTGCCTCTATTATTGTATAAGGATTCTATAACGAATGGTCACACTGCCCCTATCATTGTATGAGGATTCTATAGGGGATGGTCACACCGCCCTTATAATTGTATGAGGAATCTATAGGAGACATTCACACTGAGATAAAATATAAAATAATTACAAAAATACATAAAAAAATAAATGTCAAGGGAGGGTGGGGTACCCTGGCGTTGGCCTCTGTTTATTTATTTATTTATATTCCTCTAAATAAATGTGGAGTCAAGCATACGAAAATAATATAAAAAAGCCAAGAAAGAAGAAGATTGAAAAAAACAAAATCAGTAAGTATGTAAGTGCAAAAAGAAATAACAAGAATTAAATTAAAAAAAAGATTAAAATTAGCCACAAAACAAAGAACAAAAAGTAAAAGAAAGTATAATAAATAACACGTTTCAAATGAAGAAAACTTAAATTAAAAGAAAATCCGTTTTTGCGTCCGTTAAAATGTGAAACCATTTTCAAATATTATTGTAAGCCTGACCGAGCAGATGTTCCAGAAATGTGCTTATTAATATTTATGCCACAAGGGGTTAATAAGGGTCTGGTAGAACGCGGCACGTCGCCCTATGAATATTGATTGGCTGGCTGCTATTTAATGTACAAGCTGTTCAGATTATTTTTTTCAGTTTCTCAAAACTCAGCTCAGGCAGACCTGAAAAAAAAAAGAAAAAACAAAATCCCTCTCCCTGCAGTGACGGGGCGTCCTTCTTGAAATAAACAGGTATATTCTATAGGGCCCAGGAGGATTGTAAAACTGGAGTCTGTCAATCAATCACTTCTCCATCTTTCCTCCGGAGCGCGATGGAAACTGGCAGGGAGTATTGAACCCTATTCCCAGCATTGGTGTCACCAGAAGTCAGGCTCAGGAGGGGCTCATCTGCAGGAACACAGAAAGTACATATTTCAAAAAAAATATTTACAATTATGCGTTCCTTAAAAATATTGAATGTACTTTTCAATTCAAGCTGGAAAGGTAGTTGCGTTTGTCTTTATATTAGCTTCCTGTAATGTTGTGGACAGCATTACCACTGAGACAGGGAGGAGCAGAACTCTAAGCCAATTGGGGCTCAAATACTTTGTATGATGTTGTCAATCTAACATTGTCAAAGGACTAACAGGTGAGGAGATCAGAGGGGTGACTTTGCTGCTGTCCCCTGCACTGTCCAGTTAGCTGATTGTGGGCCTATCCTCGGAATTTCCATCTGATGGTAAGTCAACCACTGGAGACGTCTCTGTCAAAGTCCATAATCCTTGAGTGTATAATGGAGAAGTTGGGTAATGGTAGACCTTGTGTGTATGATGGAGAAGAAGAGGACTCTAGAAAGTCAGGGTAGGTGTTGGTAGTGGCAAGAAGAAAAGTGGGGTAATGGTAGACCTTGTGTGCATGATGGAGAAGAACAAGATTCTAGAAAGTCAGGGTAGGTGTTGGTAGTGGCAAGAAGAAAAGTGGGGTAATGGTAGACCTTGAGTGTATGATGGAGAAGAAGAGGACTGTAGAAAGTCAGGGTAGGTGTTGGTAGAGGCAAAAAGAGAGGCGGGGAATGGTAGACCTTGAGTGTATGATGGAGAAGAAGAGAACTGTAGCAGGTCAAGGTGGCTGTTGATAAGGTGTGGCATAGGGTAGGTTCTCCTTTATGTCAAAATCCACAGGGCAGGTTTATCTCTCTGTGGAAGTCCATAGAGCAGGTTCATCTTCATGTCAAAGTCTATAGGGCAGGTTTCTTCCTCCGTCAAAGTCCATAGGGCAGGTTTTTTCCTCCGTCAAAGTCTATAGGGCAGGTTCATCTTCATGTCGAAGTCTATAGGGCAGGTTTATCTTCATGTCGAAGTCCATAGGGCAGGTTCATCTTTATGTCAAAGTCCATAGGGCAGGTTTTTTCCTCCGTCAAAGTCTATAGGGCAGGTTCATCTTCATGTCGAAGTCTATAGGGCAGGTTTATCTTCATATCGCAGTCCATAGGGCAGGTTCATCTTCATGTCGAAGTCAATAGGGCAGGTTTTTTTCCTCCGTCAAAGTCTATAGGGCAGGTTCATCTTCATGTCGAAGTCCATAGGGCAGGTTCATCTTCATGTCGAAGTCCATAGGGCAGGTTCATCTTCATGTCAAAGTCTATAAGCAGGTTTCTTCCTCCGTCAAAGTCCATAGGGCAGGTTTTTTCCTCCGTCAAAGTCTATAGGGCAGGTTCATCTTCATGTCGAAGTCTATAGGGCAGGTTCATCTTCATGTCAAAGTCCATAGGGCAGGTTTTTTCCTCCGTCAAAGTCTATAGGGCAGGTTCATCTTCATGTCGCAGTCCATAGGGCAGGTTCATCTTCATGTCGAAGTCCATAGGGCAGGTTCATCTTCATGTCGAAGTCCATAGGGCAGGTTCATCTTCATGTCGAAGTCCATAGGGCAGGTTCATCTTCATGTCAAAGTCCATAGGGCAGGTTTTTTCCTCCGTCAAAGTCTATAGGGCAGGTTCATCTTCATGTCGCAGTCCATAGGGCAGGTTAATCTTCATGTCGAAGTGCATAGGGCAGGTTCATCTTCATGTCGAAGTCCATAGGGCAGGTTCATCTTCATGTCGAAGTCCATAGGGCAGGTTCATCTTCATGTCGAAGTCCATAGGGCAGGTTCATCTTCATGTCGAAGTCCATAGGGCAGGTTCATCTTCATGTCGAAGTCCATAGGGCAGGTTCATCTTCATGTCGAAGTCCATAGGGCAGGTTTATCTTGCTGAAGTTCATAAGGTCTATCCTTGAGCC